AAGTATTGAGCCCAAATGAGTTATGCAGAATGGAAAAGGTGATTGCACTAATACTTTGTCGTCTAAAGAGGATCTTTCCTCTATCATTTTTCACCATAATGACGCATTTAGCAATACATCTAGCACATGAGGCTAATATGTGTGGCCTAGTRCAATTTTGTTGGATGTATCCAATTGAGAGGTAAATCTTTATATTCATTTCAATGCTTAATACATTTACACACATAGGAATGGCAATGGGGCGGGTTTGGGGCGGGGCACCCCCTCCCCATCCCCGCTCTGTAGTCAAGATATTTTGCACTGTCCCTGGTGGCAGAGCGGGTTTTGAGCAAGGCATCCACTCCCCATTAGGGACGGGGAATCCCTGAATTTTCCCTGCTCCAAGGAAACTACTTAAAAATTAGCTATTTTATGGAAAATTTACACATAGGATATAGGAATTTGGGGGTATTTTAGGAATTGAATATAATACTTTAGGGGTAATTCAAAATAGAATTATGGGATCCTTAGATTTTAAGAATTTAGAAAAAACTTAGAGATATTTTAATTATCAATATTAAACCTAGAGATATTTTACTAATTTATCTTCGGGTTTGGGGCGGGTTTAGGAAATTATATACAAAACCCATCCCTAATTCGAGGAAAAGATATTTTCCTTGTCCCTGCCCTATCCCTGTTTAGGGTCGGGGAAAACCCGCTCCATTCGGGGTGGGGCAGGGCCCCGGTTTTATGGGGGAAATTGCCATCCCTATACACACACAAATATATGTTGTGTGTGTGTATATGTGTGATCATTAGTTAAAATTTCATTCTCTATGTAGATACCTTGGAAAGATGAAATCCTATGTCTGCAACAGAGCATATCTAGAAGGCTCTATAGAAGAAGGTTACTTGGCACATGAATGTTTAACTTTTTACTCACAGTACCTACATGGTGTAGAAACAAGGTTTAATAAACCAATAAGAAATAATGATGAGGCAAATAATGGAATGCAAGGATTCTCAATGTTTCAGATTCTAGGTCATCATTTAGGAAAGGTTGATTATATCCAATTAAATGACATCACATGGGCCCAATCTCATCGATATGTGTTATTTAGTTGTGACAAAGTGATCCCCTATATTGAGTAAGTTTGTGGTTGAATATGATATTTTAGATTGATAAGTAAACTTTAATCTTAAATATTTAAAGAATACTAACCTTGAGTTTATGTAGACAACATGCTACAATTATCAAGCGTCAACATCGACGTACCCGTCTAAGAGAAAAAGAGATAACATAAATCCAAAATCTAAAATTACATGAATGGTGTAAGTCACATGTAAGAAACTTCTTGCACTGTGCAACTTTTTACGCCATGTTTGTAAACATAAAATCATCACAAACATTTTTTTATGGTGTTCTTTAGGTTGCAAACTTTGAATCAGAAAATAATCTTTAAATTTCGGAGGTGATTAGATGATTGGCTAAAGGTCCATCGTGTGAAGCGTAGAGGTTCAAGGGGTTTATTGTCAATGGTTTTAGATTTCACACCAAAGATCGTGAACGACGACAAAAGACCCAAAATAGTTGGGTTGTTATCACAGTAGAGACATCAAGTTTTGCTAGTTCAAGAGATAAAAATCCAATTTCTGGGGACGTCATTTATTATGGAACATTAACCGACATCATTGAGTTAAATTACTATGAGAAATTTAGGGTTGTATTATTTCAATGTGATTGGGTTGATGTGACACAAGGCAGGGGAATAAAACAAGAAGAGTGTGGCTATACACTATTTAACCTCTCACATTTGACGCGTAATTCGCAATTAGAGGATGGACCATTCATTTTAGCTTCCCAAGCCCAACAAGTTTTTTATGAAAAAGACTCCAATGAAGATAATTGGAGTGTTGTTATGAAGACAATCCCAAGAGATTTATTTGATATGCGGGCTGAAGAGGTTGACGGAGATGATGATTTGGAAGTTGAGCCACCTAGAACATATGTAATGGAAGACACTCCTGATGATAACATTGATTGGGTTTGTGAAGATGTTGATGGAACAACTGTTTAGGCAACCATTTCCGATGATGAAGATGATGATGTACATGAGCCTACATATGAGGAAGAGTTAGAGAATGATACTCTTTATGACTACATATGATGTTGATTAGTTTGCACTACAAGAAAATGGGGCTATAGATATGGCACTTTAACTACAGTTAAAAAAACCGTAGCTAAAACATGCGATATAACCATGGACAATTTGACGTCTGTGGAAAAAAGTTGAGCTTTAGCTACGGATATTTTGTCTGTGGTTAAAAGTTATTCTATCTGTGGCTAAAAGACATTTATAGCTACGGTTATAATGTATCTGTAGTTATAAGTTACAAAAGCAAAAATTGAGCTTTAGCTACGGACAACTTGTCCGTGGTTAAAAGTTGAGCTTTAGCAATGGACAGTTTGTTCGTGGTTCAAAGCTATTCTGTCCGTGGCTAAAAGATATTTATAGCCACAGTTATAATGTATCCGTGGCTATAAATTACAAACGCAGAAGTTGAGCATTAGCCACGGACAATTTGTCCGTGGTTAAAAGTTATTCTGTCATTTGCTATAAGATATTTATAGCCACCGCTACAATGCATCCATGGCTGTTGGTTACAAAAGCAGAACTTGAGCTTTAGCTACGGACAATTTGTCCGTGGTCAAAAGTTATTTTGTCCGTGGCTAAAAAGCTATTTATCACTATAGCCACAGATAACTAAAACTCCGTGGCTATAATTACGAAGTTAGCTCATAAATAATAATCATATAATATTCATTTGAAATATTTATTATTTATTAATTACTTTTTATAGGAAATTATAATTAAGAATTTATTAAAGTAAAAGATATAATTAATAATTAATAATTAACAAATTATTAGCTCATTACTATTGCATAACGATAATAATTAATGATTTCTATTTAATAATAATTAAACTAGACAATAAATTATTAATAATTTCATAAGTACATTAATAAAAAGAAAATAATTTCTAAAATAGAAATAAATAAGTATTAATTATTATTTGATTAATTAAAAATAATCATCAAAAATTAATTTAATTATTTAAGTAAATTAATAATTAATAGAAATAATAAACTAAATATGAAAACCACTAATAATAAATTAATTAATTACCTATCAATGAAAATAATAGTGACAATTAAATTAAATTATTTAAATTTATAAATAAATTATTTATAAAGTAATAGTGATACAATATAGATAAATAATTATTAATTATTATTTTATTAATTAAATAATAACTAAAAATTTATTTAATAAATTACTTCAACCACTTTACCATTTTTTTGCCTCAAAGCGTAAATTTTTAACTTTTTTTATTAGTGAAAGATGAAAAACTAAAATAAAATATAAATAAATCAATATATTCTACATATTTCAAAACATCATTATTTATTCTATATATAATAAAACATATAACACTAACCAATGTTTAGAAAGTTGGACGAGACCAGCTAGTTAGATTATTGTTAAACCATGACCCAACCCTTGACCAATTCGATCATACTCCTAACCCTATTTAACCAAAAAAAAAAGCCAAAACCGTCCACCAAACTAGTCTAACCCAAGAACTAATGAATTGGTCTTCGGTAACTTTTTTGCTACCTATGTGTTTTAAAGTACTGAAGGCATCTTACTCTATTATTTTTGCCATAAAACAAGGGTGATCATTTTAGCGAGTTGGAAAATTTTGCTCTTGGACCTAGATTTTGTGTTTAAGCCTTGGCTGAGTTGAAGGGTTCTAGGAATCAGAACTGATGAGTTGACTCTAGTTTTGAATATATTGTCCCGATTATTATCGGCTCGGAATTGGTTCCACCTAGTCCTAAACCGATTCAAAACCAACCCAATAGTTAGATTTCTTCTCTTCTCCCCTCTTAGTAAAACCTTTTTGTGTTACGACATTATCTTAATTAGGTCATAGTGACCAAAATCTAATGTTCAGTCTATAACACGGATGACCAACCATCCCCATTGTCCTTTATTCACTAATGACATAGAGGCAACAAACACACTACAACCAAAGGCATGGGCCGTGGCATATTTGGTGTTTCATTTTTCATCTCAGAAAGCAAGTGTCATGCCACAAGCAATGAAATCTAGGGGTACTCAAATTTGGTTACCGAAATGAAAACAAATCGAACCAAACTAAATAAGCAAATTTAGTTTGATTTATTTGATTCTTGGTTGGTAGAACCTCTAGTCATTGTAGCAAAGACATATGATCAAATTCCGTTGCCACTAGGGTTGGGGGAATTTCTAGTGGTATATATTATAAGTTTATAAACAGTGATATATATTATTATAAGTATTAATAATAATATATCATTCACAAGTTTATAAATACTAATATAAGTGGGTCCAAACCGAACCAAAAACTGAATCGAACTATATTAAATTCAGTTCGGTTATGACATCTAGTTCGATTCAATCCAGTTCATAAGAATGGATTAATTGAAATGCTAGTTAGGTTCTTAGTTTTTTCTTTTTTTTTTTTAAATGTTAGGTTCTTAGTTCTAACCGAATCGAATCGAACCAACTGAATGAAAACCACTAAAAATTTGTATTTAAAAATTGTATTAAATAACTAGTAAAAATCATTAAATAATTAAAAATTATAAAATATAATTAAATAATTAATAAAACAATAAAATAAAATATTCAATGAAATTGTTAAATAACTAAATGATAAAATTATCAAATAATTAAGTAATTAACAAAAACTATTAATTATTGCTGAAATAATATAATAACCATGATAAATGATTAAACGACGAATAAGACATTAATATAATTAAATGACTAAAACATTAATGGCTTAGTGCATGCAATTAACTATTTGACTCTTCATCTCTCTTTCGAAAATAAATAAGCGCGCGGGCTCCAACTCTCTCTCTCTCTCTCTCTCTCTCTCTCTCTCTCTCTCTCAAATACTTGGAAGAAAAATTGACCACTCTCATTCAAACACCCTTCTCTCGGCCTCCCTTCTCTTTCCATCCTTCCTTCACCAAACCTGAAACAAAAATAATCCTCTCTTCATCTCTCTATTCTCTCTCATCCATCCTCTCCGAAGCAAAAAAAAATCCTCTCTTCACCAAACCAAAGTTCTCTCTCTCTCTCTCCAAAGAGTGAGATCTCACTCGCACTCCGAAGCAAAAAAAATAGAGGTCTGTGTGGAATCTGTTGCCATGGATCCGTTGAGATGATATTGCGGTCACCACTAGATAAACGCCTCAACCAGCTACGGAAGAGGACATCCCTCCGCTCACCTTGTTACTCACTTGCTCCCACCGCATCGGCTAAGGAAATGAGTGCCGATTTCCAGGTTTTTGTTTCAGCAGATGAATCGGTTTCGTATCGGCAAAAAGACCCCCTGAAACTCGTGGTTCTCGCTGATGTATCGTGCCGTCTCCCAGTCGTCGACAATGACACAATTTCCCCTAGGTTTTCTCCTACTGTCATTTTTAAATTATTGTTCTCTCTATCTTTTATCTTTTCGTATTTTTTGCTTACATGCACTGCAATGTTCTTCCGGTTAGATTTTATTGTTTGATTCTCTTCAAGGAAGAACCTGCTTGTACCATGCTACGTACTATGGACATTCCGTTTGTCTGCAAGCCATTCTAGTTGCTGCTCAGTCAATTGAAGTTGCAGATTCTTTGTGGGTATTTTTTATTTTATTTTGGTTTTGTTTTTGCATCTTCTATAGAGAATTGTTTCAAGGTTTGATGGGTCATGATCAAAAGTTTATTACATTTCATTTGTTTGATTATTTTGTGGTTGGATTTAAATTACAAGGGGTTTTCACACTTTGTAAATGTTAGAGATGGTAAAGGAGCAATTCCATTGGTCCTTGTAGACTGATAGAGACGATCTGATTGTGTCCATATCATGCTAGACAGAGGAGCTGTTGTATGTTCTTTGATGGGTGGATGTGGGTAATAAACCCCTTGCAAAGTATACTTTTTGCCATGGTTTCAATAGTTGCTTCTGTAATATTGGTCATGTCCTAATTGCAGCTTCATTTGGTGGTTCGAGGGGGCTCTTTAGATTGTTTGCGTGAGTTGCTTTCATGGGGAGCAATCAGCTTCAAAGAGATTCTTCTGGGTAAGAATATATGTAACTCATGGAAAAGATATAGTGAACGATGACGTTTGATCTCCCGATCGTGGTTCAATCTAAAATTTGAAATTATTCCCTGGCTAACTGTAGTTAAATTCTAGTTTAAGTGCTCAACATGGGTGAAATAATTATTTTCTTTTCATCCCCTTCGTGTGATCAATAATTAGATCTGTTTAGTCCAAGATGTATCTTGCAGAAACATATGGATGTTGTAGACTTATGATCTTTCCATGATTGTGACTATGAAGTTCTTTACTCTGATTATTGGCATCTAGAATTCTAATCAGAAATATGAGTATTGTGTTCCAGTGAGGTTTTAATTTATTGAATTTTGTTTTTGGTTCAATTGGATATAGCCTATAGGGGATTCTCTGTTACTTGAATTTTTATTTTTTCATCTTTTATTGGATATAGCCTATAGGGGATTCTTTGGTCCCCTAACGATGAGCATGTTCTTTGATTGGTTATTTCCTTCCTATGTTAGGTGGCATTTTTTAAATGCCATTATAGACCATCTTTAGTGACGTATCTTAAAAATGACACCATGAAACACTACTACATAAGGTTGTTTGTATCATAGTCAGATTCAGGCTTCTATAACCCATCATCAGGTGGTTTGGATCCAAAACTAGAACAAATTTTCTAGACAAGTGTCAAATAATGTACACCCAGAAATTTTGCTGGTCACTGGCTCAATTGTTCAGTCCAGATTGAATGGTTGGTTAACCAGTAACTAGTTATATATACATACATACATACATACATGCATATATATATATATATATATAAAGTGTGGGCCCAATGCTAGTATTGTAAAGGTGCTTTTGTGTGGCCTCCTTTTGTTGAATTTAGTTGTTGGGCTCTTTTTTTGTGGGATGGACCCGCTTGTAGTACTCTCTTCTCTTCTCTTTTCTTTTTTTGTATACTTTTTTATTGTGTATGGATTCATTAACTGGTACATAAAATAACTAAAGGTGCAAATAGACCAGGATAGGGTCATAAGGGTCTCTAGTTTGTTAACAATCTTAGAAGAACATGATTTTGTATGTAAGAAATGTACCCAAAGTCTAAATGATTAGCTTGTTGGAGGCCCAAGTAGAGCCCAATCCTAGGGACAACATGAGGTGGGCCAGGTTGCAAAATGGTGATGAAATATTTAGTGGAGTAGATTCAGTACCAACCAAACAGACATGATGTGTCATGTTTGTTGGCAGAAACTAGCAATTTCTGTAACTTGCTTTCTACTTGAACAAAAACATAGAAGGGCACAGGTGCTTTCAAGAACAGATACTTTGTTTGGGGGCCTTTCCCTTCTTGAATTAAAGCTTCACTAATTTGTTTACCACAAGTCAAAAATTTATATCTTTTCCTTAAAACATCATAAGAAATGAGAGCTTCAGTTTCATTCTCTAGTGATGGGTCATTAGAGATCAAACCAAAGAGCAACCAAAACCCAAGTTTGTTTATTGTTCTTCTATGGCAAATAGAAGTGCAACATATTCACTTTTAAGTCCATGTCATTGTGTTAGCCCGGTTTTGAGGTTTTAAGTGAAATGGAATTGATCTTAATGGACCACCCGGCCTATCTACTACTGATATTTAGGTAATTCACACTTAAAAGAGCTAGCAAGGACAGATAATATGATAAACTATTGATGACTACAGTCCAATTTTAACAAACTTCCAAGGATTAAGAAGAATATAAATAGATACCAATATTTACAGTTGGATGTACCCAAAAGATACAAGAATAAATGTAGTTTGCTTGGATTCATCTGGGGTTCCATGAGCAGCAAAATTTGTTAGTTCATTAGAAACACTTATCATCTCCCCACTTCTTTATGTAATGCTGATCTAGTTCTGGGGACTAGCCCTTTAATGTTCCTTGCAAGATCATTCAACTTAAAGAATTCAAGATCTAACAGTAAACTATTGAAGTTTGTAATGCCAATAAGGACTAGTGTCCTTTCTATTCTATTTGTATTTGCAACAGAAAATAGAAAATGACGAGATGGCCTCCTGTACTGATGGTATAGAAAAGTAGAGTATATGATAGGAAGTAGGAGAGAGAATGTTAGTAGCTTTTGTATTTTTTTTGTTTCTCTCATACGCACATTTGCAATACAAGAGGTTGTATTTATAGTAGCTAGAGCCGGTGGTTGCAAGGTAAACCGACTTTACATTTGTGGTTGATATTATTTGCTCTAAATCCTTCTTTTACTGAAGGAATTTTGACCACACAAATTTACTTGCTTCTTAAGTATAACTAGGAAGTTCTAGAGTAAAGTATTCTAGAAATGTGTAGCAACTTCTAGTACTCTTCCTTGGTGTACACTTCAGTAACTCCAATCATGTCTCATAATAGTTCGAACTTGCCTTTTGGTAGTACCTTTGTGAATATGTCTGCTAATTGCTCTTCAGTCTTGTAGTGTTTGAGTTTTATTTATTTGTTTGCTTCGGCTTCTCTGATGAAGTGATACTTTATGCCTATATGCTTGGCTCTGTTGTGAAATGTGAGATTCTTTGCATCTACTATCACAATTGATTTCTGTAGCTTCCACTTGTGGTTCTCCCATGTCTTCAAGTATTCTTTTTAGCCATATATCTTGGCTTGTTGTCATTGCTGCTGCAATATACTCTGCTTCAGCTGATGATTGCGCAACTGTTGCTTGTTTCTTTGATGCCCAAGAAAATATCCCTGATCCAATTGTGAAAGCATATCCTGACGTGCTTTTCATGTCGTCTACTGATCCTGTCCAATCACTATCTGTGTAGCCAATTAGTTTTGAGTCATGTGTGACTTCATACCATATTCCGTAGTTCTTTGTTCCTTGCAAGTATCTAAGTACTCTCTTAGCTGCTCCATAGTGAACTTGACTTGGACTCTACATGAATCTTGATAGCAGACTAATTGCATACATGATGTCTGGTATTGTAGCTGTTAAATAGAGTAAGCTTCCAATTAAACTTTGAAATTGTGATTCATCTGCTTTTGGTGAGCCGTCTTCTTTCTTGAATGCTTTATTGTTGTCTAATAGAGTTGATACTGTCTTGCAGCCTTCCATTTTGAATTTCTTCAAGAGAGTCTCTGTATACTTCTTTTGTGAGATGAAGATCCCATCTTCTTCTTGAGTTATTTCGATCCCAAGAGAGTAGTGCATTAAACCCAAATCGGTCATCTCGAAAGTCTTCATCATGTCTTCTTTAAATTTCTTGATCATCTTCTCATTATTTCCTGTGTAAATGAGATCATCGATATATAAAGAGACAATAAGTGTGTCATTTGTACCTTGAGTCTTGATGTAGAGTGTTGGTTCACTTTTTCTCCTCCTGAATCCTTGCTCAGTGAAGTAGTTGTCGATTCTACTGTACCAGGCTCGCGAAGCTTGCTTTAGGCCATATAATGCCTTCTTTAATCTGAGAACTTTATCTTCTTGTCCTTGCACCACGAACCCTTGAGGTTGCTCTACATAGATTTCTTCCTTAAGGTAGCCATTGAGGAATGCTGACTTCACATCTAGTTGGAAAATCTTTCATTTCTTCTGTTCAGCTAGTGCAATCAATGCCCTGATTGTGTCAAGGCGTGCAACTGGAGCAAATGCCTCATTGTAGTTGACACCATATTGTTGTGAGTATCCTTTGGCAACTAACCTTGCTTTATGCTTTTGGATTGAGCCATCTGAGTTAAGCTTTATCTTGTAAACCCACTTAATTCCTATAGTGTCTTTGTTTGTGGATGATCTACAAGCTCCCATGTCTCATTTTTCTCGATCATCTTTGTTTCTTCGTCCATAGCTATTCTCCATAATTCTTTCTTAAAAGCTTCTTCAAAGCTTTCTGGCTCCATAAGCATCAAGTTGCATGTCTCGCATATCTCTGTTAAGGATTTAGTTCGTCTTGGTGACAAGTCTGAAGGAGATTCTGTGGCTTGTACTGGTTCTAATTGTGTTGTTGGTTGAGTTGGCGATCCAATTTGATCGTGGCCTTCTTCAATTTCTTGTCTTGGTAATAGGGGCATGTTGATACTCTTTCTTTCAACTTCTTCTGTCTCCCAATTGTATTCAGCGTCTTCGTCGAATCTTACGTCCTGGCTGATTATGAGCTTCTTTGTTCGTAAGCTATAAACCCTTGAGGTTGGACATCTGTCGAGCAAGTAGACTGTAGTGCTTACTGCCTCTGCCCAAAAAGTTTTTGGAAGACCCTTCTCCATGAGCATGGCTCTTGCTGTCTCCATAACTGTTCTATTTTTTCTTTCGGATACTCCATTTTGTTCTGGTGCGTATCTGACTGTGAGTTGATGCTCCATGCYTTCATCTTCACAGAACTTGTTGAATTCATTAGAAGTGTATTCTTTGCCTCTATCACTTCTTATCATCTTGATATTGTGACCACTTTGCTTCTCGACATGGGTTTTGAATTTCTTAAAAATATCGAAGACTTGCGATTTATCTCGCAAAAAGTAAACCCATGTCATTCTAGTATAGTCATCGATGAAGAGAATGAAATACCTGTTTTGATCATTTGATGGAGTACGCATTGGACCGCAAACGTCTGTATGGATTAACTCTAGTGGCTTTTTGGCTCTCCAAGCTTTTCCGAATGGGAAGGGTTGTCGATGTTGTTTCCCAAGCATACACCCTTCGCAGACATTGTTGAGCTCCTTGATTACTGGTAGGTCTCGTATCATGTTCTTCTGCTGAAGGATCTTTAACCCATGGAAATTGAAATGTCCAAACCTTCTATGCCATAGTCACGACTYGTCAACTTGCGCTTGCATTGCTACATTGCTTGCGTATCTCCATTGTATGGGAAAGCGTCTATTTTCTTTCATTTTTGTTTTTGCAATTTCAAGGGATTTGTCTTGCTTGTTGTAGATTGTGCAAGAATCTCCCTCAAAATGTAAAGAGTATCCTTTCTCCATCATTTGACCTACACTAAGTAGGTTTTGATCAATGTTGGGGACCAAGAGTACATCATTGATGTAT